ATGTTACATACTGGACCTTCAAGTGGGGGTTAGGCCCCCTCCCAAGGGTCACAAGATAAATCTGAGGGTCATCATTAACCATTAATCATCTTGAGATGATTCTGCTAAGTTCTGAAACACAAATCTGTTTTGTTTTTTAACTACTCAGTTCTTTGCTTTTGTTGTGAAATGATGAGTAATTTCTGAACATCTGACAACTAACAATAAATCATCTCTCATCAATTCAGTCTTCTGAATTGACTTGCACATGTGAATCACATGCAATTTGATTTCTCTGGAAAGAGCAGTTAAAATCTAAATCGTTGTGTACTCTCATACCCTGTCTGAGTTTCTTATTTATATTTAAAAAATCTGTGATTATTCATTTCAATACAGCTCTGCATTTTATTGTTTTACAAAAATGTTCTTGGCGACTTGAATAAGAGTAAGTACACAGCTACATTCCAGCATTATGTTTAAAATGGCTGTTTTTATTTCCTTTAGATGTAAAATGTTTATTACAGTGGGCCTGGTGTAGTCTAATAAATCATCACGAGTGTTGGCAGAGATATGTACAATTGGAGTGAACATGCAGATTTCTTTAGCCAGCCAGCAGCTATAGGAACAGAGACAGTCATGCAGAGAACATTGAGGTAGAGCAGAGAGAAAGCCCTGCAGCTGATAACTAGGATTTCTGAATATGTGACTCCCAGTGCACTATAAGAGAGAAATGTGAGGAAAATAAAAAACAGAGATGGCTATTTCTCAAAAGTCTTTATGTCCATACCTAAGAAAGGTGAGCCACTCAATCCAATCCATCCTTCTCATTTCCTCCGCCACTCCCTCACTCTCACATTTGTCCTTCCCCATTTACACCCCTGCCTCTCCTTCTGAAGCGTCAAACCATTTTTTAATAGTAGCCGTGTCATACAAAGTGGCACGTTATGGCTTATGTCATCATAATGCAAATGCAATATCTCACTATATTTGCAAACTGATGACAGTATAATATCTTCATTGCACATTTAAGATTCTCTGCAGGTGGAAAAAGTGGATTAACTTTTTCACACTTATTATTCAAGTCGTCACTTCAGTCCTCTTCCTGGTGTCTAATCATTAAAAAGGTGCACCTTTTTTCCCTCTCTTTTTTCCACTCTCCACCAACATAAAGTTTATAAATTATATAGAGAGGTGATGAATAAAGAATCAAAGAGGTCAAGGCTGACTACCACTGCATCCTCTGGGAAAGCACCCTACTATAGCTATTCTGCAAAACACACATAGAATGAGGTGCTGAGTTGACAGCGGTGCATTTAGTGGCCATTTTCTTTCAAGTATGATGGGATTTATTGTTTCAAAATATATGTGAATTCTCACTCGCATTATTGCACAAGCACATGCACAGAAACTGCACACAGACACAAACAGACATACATTCATACATGTATATACACATTGTGACACACAGCTGCTGGCCAATCAGATGAGTCAGAATGCCTTCCCCTAGAGGACAACAGCTGATCTGGGTTCATCTGCTGATTCATGTTCCAGCTGGAAATAGCACATGGTGCTCACAAACACATTAAAACAAAATAACTAACACATAGTGGTCAGGTTTGTCAGTACTACATTCCACTATAAACCTCATGACATTAAAATTATGTATATTATAGTTAGTTAGTTGCAGCAGTTGAGACTGTATCATGCAAGAAGATTTTTTTTTTCTGCGGCCCTAGTGTCTTCTCACATCAGACTGTTTACTGTGTTCTTAGTAACTGCAGGAAATATTAAAACTGACCTCATGCTTAAGTAGGCCATGCAGAGAAATAAGAGTCAAATAAAGCTTAGCCTGCGTGCAGATGAAATAAACAAAAAGTAATTTTGCATGAGTAATGTCAGAAATGTCTCTCTGTGTAGTCAAGTCATAAGCTTAGTTTTCCCTGGGAGCTAAGATATTTGATCATAGTTTAACCACAGATAGTTGAAATGGTGCTTCCACAGTGTGCGGAGTCACTACAACCGGCACTGATCATGCGGTGATGGTGAGCAACACTAATGTGTTTCCT